GTGATGCCTGTGGACTTGGGACTGGCCTGCCGGGGCGCGAGCACAGTGGACGTGGGGCCCTTCCAGCCCCTGGGGGCCACCCTGCCCACCCCAGTTGCCTGGCCACCCACAGCGGCCTCTGACGATACAGAACCGGGTGAGGAGCCGCCGGCTTCAGGAGGGGACCTGGGGCAGAGTCCATCAGGCAGCCCCGCTTCTCTGTTCAGCTCCCCGGAAGTGATCAGCGTGTGGGAGCGGCTGCCCGGCCCAGATGACACCCCTGAGGGCCAGGACCAGGAGGCCTCCGGGGGCGCCAGCCAGCTGTTTCCAGAGCTCAGCACGGCCAGTGACGCCTGGCCTTGGGACGTGGTCACCATCTCGCCTGCAGCCGAGGCGTCCTCCCCTGTCCTGCAGGCAGGGTCTGAGGAGCTGCCCGCCCAGCAGGTGCGGCCAGAGTCACCAGAAGCTGTGAGACCCCAGGGCACCGAGGGGCTTCTCCCACTGGAGCCAGCACCGGAGGTGACACCTGAGAGGGGGTCAGAGGAGCAAGGCATGCCACCTCCCAAGCCACCACGTCTCTTCATCCCTGGACATTCCCAGCAGGAAGAGGAGGAGGAGGAAGAGGCTGCGGGGGCTCTTCCCGACTGGAGGCCTGAGACGAGAGATGACACCTCCCCAAGTCCTCCAGCTCCCCGTCCACACGAGGCAGAGGAGGAAGATGAGAAGCTTGAGTCAGAGGGGTCTGATGGCCATTCTTCGGGGACCCTGCTGGATGAGCTAAGCCGGGAAGGCGTTGGAGAGGATGCCAGCCCCCCACCTTCTCCCTCCTGCTTGTCTCTGCCCACCAGTCCTAAAGGCCCTCTCCCCTCACCTGCCTACTCAGACAGCCTGGCCTTTCCAGGTCCACAGATCTGGGGAGCTCTGGAGCAAGGAGAAGCCCCTGATGGTCATGAGACACATAGCCAGGGACCAGCCAGAGAGGAACTCAGGCCCATGCCAGCCAGGTCCCAACAGACTGACCTGTGGGTCTCCAAAGAGGACACCTTCCTGCCTCGGGACAGCCGAGACCCCCCCAGCCTCCCCTCCGTATCCCCTCCTGGGTCCAGAGAATCGTCTATCTTCTCGGGTCCAGAGGAACCGCCCACCCCTCCAGAGCCAGCCTTCCCACCACCCCCACTCCCACTCTGGGCCAGTCACCTCCAGACAGGACTCAGCCCTGAGGGTGCATCCCTGCCAGGAGCCTGGCCCCTGGCCGAGCCCTCCCCACCCCAGGGAGGGCCAGCCTTATCCTTGGGCCCCAGTGAGCCCTCCCCAGCCAAGGACTCCCCAACCCCTCTCAGGGACGACCACGCTGCAGCCACCCCAGCCTCCCCGCTTGTGCTTCTGCCCTTGGAGACACGGCCAGTCGAGGAGCTGCAGCCTGGTGCCAGGTGAGCTCCCACCCGGATCTTCCCGAGGGCAGGGCGAGGCCTTCAGAGAGGCTGGGCGCTGGGTTCCCACCAGTCCCTGAGACAGGACAGCAGGAGCTTCTGTGGTTTCAGCTTTGAGGCCGCTTCTCTTTGGGACCCTGAGCAAGGAGGATGCCTCCCAACAAGGGCTTCTGGGCCTCGGAAGACAGGGTTTCGGGATGACTTGACAGGGCGCAGGGAACGCAGAATGAAGCCAGGGGACGGCTGATTGGCGCCTCCCAGTGTTGAGGTACTCAAGTGCAAGGGGGCCAGCTGGCTTGTGGGCTGCCTGGAGCAGAGCACTTGCCTGACACTTGTCACCAGGGCCCTGTTCTAGAGCCCTGTCAGCTAGGACCGTGTTCTAGAGCCCTGTCAGCTAGGACCGTGTTCTAGAGCCCCGGCAGCTAGGACCGTGTTCTAGAGCCCTGGCAGCTAGGCTCATGTTCTTGTCCACTAGGGCCCTGTCCTAGAGCCATGTCTTCTAAGGCCCTATTCTAGATCCCTGCCATCTAGGGCTGTGTGTTGGGGACCTGGTAATCAGAGCCATATTCTAGAGCTTTGGTATCTAGGGGCACAGTCTAGAATCCTGTCAAGTAGGGTCAGTTTCTAGAGCCCTGTAAACAAGGGCCACATTTTAGAATCTTGTCAACTAGGGCTGTCTTCTAGAATATGGTAATCTAGGTATGTATTTTAGATCTTTGCTGGCTAGGGCGGTGTTCTAGAACCATGCCCACTAGCACTCTGTTCTAGAGCCTAGTCAAGTAGGACCCCAAGTTCTAGAGGCCTTTTCTCTAGGGCCATGTTCCTTAGCAATTAGGGTTTTGTTCTAGGATCTTGTTTTCTAGGACCTCATTCTAGAGCCCTGCTTGGGCTGTGTCCTAGAGCCATGTCACCTGGGGCTTTGTTCTGGGGTTCTGCCAATTAGGGCCATGTTCTCGAGCCCTTACAACTAGGGATGTTTTCTAGAGCCCTATCAGCAAGTGCTGTGTCCTAGAACATGGTCAGCTAGGGGCCTGTTCTAGAGCCTTAGGTCCTATGTTCTAGAACTTTGTCTGCTTTGGGCCATGTTTAACTGCAGTCTTTGACAGAGCCAGAAGAGGGCTGGCAGTAGCTCTCTGGAGTACAGGCCCCAGCTCTTTTTAGTTTCCTGTCCACATAGATGCAAAAGAAGAAGGCTGTGAAAGACATAAAGTCAGAGGAGGATAAATGCTTCGGTCAGAGGCTAGAAACACACACACACACACACACACACACTGACCCCACACACACAGTGAGAGAGCAAACGCTATCCAAGCCTGAAATACTTCCCATGTATGTGACTCTCAGGAAAAGAAGCTTGCTGGCTTCATTAGTTTGTATGTTGGATCTTTCAAGGGATGGTCCCACCATGTAGGGCTGTGCCTCGTGAAAGTAGCTGCTGGCCTGGCATTGGTGTTATTTCTAAGGGAAATAAGATTGCGAGCTCCCTAGGTGGCTGGTCAGGGGTGGCCTGGAGCTGAGATCTTAAGGCAGTGGCCACTGCCAGTCTTTGCGGTGTGATTTAGGGAGGCACAAAGTCCAGAGGGAAAGTAGCACTGTGGGAGCTGGTGTGAAGAAGGATGGGGGACCCCACGCTGCTGGCTCTGATGACCAGAGTGGGGCATGTGGCCCACTTTGAGCCCCACTTGCCCTGACTCTCCCTGGAGAAGGCGTGCCACTGTCCAGCTGTGCCGAGCATTTGCTGCAGGTCTGTGAGGGGACAGTGCACAAAGGTGAAGTGCACTGTCCCTGGTGTGTTCCTAAGGAATTTTCAGGCCAAGGGGCAGATAGAATTGACCTCCAGGGAAGCCAGTGCTGATATGTGAGGGGTGGGTGGACAGGCAGGAATGCCCGGCTGCCCTCGGGTGGTCGGCAGTGGTGATCCCTCCAGTGAGGGAGAGGAGTGGGATGGGGCAGCTGCCTCACGCTGGGGTCTCTCAGCACCACTTCTGAGCACCCTCACTGGCTCATTTTGGTTTAGAGTTTCCCTCTCTTTGGGTTTGGCTTCATGTCTGTACGTGCAGTGGGCCTTACACAGGCCCCCAGCTGGGAACTGTGGGCTGAGGCCCATCAGACCCAGAGCCTGGGTCACCCCCACCCAGTGCCCTGCAGGCAACATTAGTTTGTACCCAACCCCCGAGGCAGGTGCTGGGTGGGAGGAAAGGACCCAGTTGCAGTCTTAGTCTGATTAGTGGTCCAGATGCACAGCTCTGGCCTGTGCTGGGCCCTGGCCTGGGGGAGCGGCCTTTGGGCGCTCAGGGCCTTGGGAATTCATCATGCTTCCTGGGCTGATGGGCCACGTCCTGGGGGCCTGCCAGTGCGTGTGCATTTGTAAGAAGTACCCAAGAGGCAGGGCTGTTGATCTGGGGAATGGTACTTAGGGAACAGTCCTAGAGGCAGGAATTTGGAGGAGTCAGGGTTGGGGAGTCTGGACTGAAAATGAGTAGGCAGAGAATGGAAAAAAAGAAAGAAGAAGTGCCAGGTGGAGGGCCAGCGGTTTGTGAGCGTGAGGGTCACAGGCCACCTTCCTGTGCCTGGGGTGGGGGATGGGTACCACTGCAAGGCTTTTAATCTCTGGAGGGGCCCCTGGGTTATTACTCCACAGCAGATGGCAAAGGTTAGAGGTGACGGGACTGCCACAGAGGAGAGGGTTTAGTTGCTGGGCTGTGTAAAGATAGGACACAGAAGGGTTTAACTGTTAGGACTGAGGGTGGAAGGTGGGATGTTTGAGGTTTCTGACTGGAGTTAAACACATGATCTCTGGCTCCTCTGCGGAGAGAACTGGTCATGTCTGCTGTGTCCTGTGTCCCCAGCTCAGGAAAGATGTAGGTGGATGTGGAGGGCAGAGCTTGGTGGAAGCTGATGGGGGCAGAGCGGATGACAGGAGGGCAGCTGGCAGCTTAGATCGAGAGGGACCACCAGAGGTCAGGAGCCCAGCCATGTCTCACAAGCAGAGGGATGAAAGGCAGACAGGAGAGGCCTTGAGGTGAGCACCCACAGGCCTGGTGACCTCAGCAAGGACACGTGGTGACTATAGGCACTAAAGTGCTGTGAGGGGTTAAGGTGAAGTCAGAGGTGGACTGTCCTCGCCTCTGGGAGAGAGGGATGGTATGTGTGGGCAGCTAGAGTGATGGGAGCTCCGGGGAGTGTGTCCCAGGCGCCTTGCGTGCTGACGGGAAACAGTGCAGGGCGTAGGGAGGAGGACGCTGACTTGGCTCGGGGCGTGTGTGGTGTCACTCAGGTCCTGAGACCTAGTTCTAGGGATGGTTGGTCACCCCTGGAGAGAGGTCACAGTACAGAGAGGAGGGAGGATCCCTCAGGGCATCTTCGACATCACCTTCCTGTGAAGGGGTCAGCTGTGGGAGTGAACTGGGGGTGTGGGCGGTGGGTATACAGAAGGGGGCTGTGAGGGCAGGGTTCCCGGGAAGCCTGGGAGACCCACTGTGAAGAAGCAGGCACTGCCCTGTGGAGTGACCTGGGACCTTCAGAGAAGGCCACCTGCTTTTCCTTGCACGGCGTGCCCTCCCTACGACGCCCTCTTCTCTGTCCTCACAGCCCCCACCCTGTGAAGCCTCTCAGTGCCGCCCCCACTGAGAACAGCCCCGACAGGAAGCCACCACGCTCCAGCCTGAGCACAGCCCTGAGCAGCGGCCTGGAGAAGCTCAAGACTGTCACATCTGGCGGCGTCCAGCCTGTGGCTCCAGCCCCTCAGGTCGGCCAGGCTGTGGAAGGCAAGAGGCTGAAGGTAAGGGCCAGCCGGGCTTTCGGGATACGGGGGGGAGAACCTGTGGGGGCGTCAGGATCCTGTAGAAGGCTGACTGCTCCAGGGTGGGTGGTGGTAGAAGTGGGGTGCACCCTGGGGAGGGTTCAGGAATGGGTGGAGCAAGGAGGGGGTGACACTCTGGAGGTGATGGTGGTGGTAATTGGGGTGTGCTCTGTGAAGGGTGCAGGGGTGGGCAGAGTGAGGAGGAGGTGTCAGGACATCTCTGGCTGCTCCAGGGGAGGTGGAGGTGGAGGTGAAGGGTGGAGGGTGGAGGTGAAGGGTGGAGGGTGGAGGTGAAGGGTGGAGGGTGGAGGTGAAGGGTGGAGGGTGGAGGAGGAGGTGGAGGGTAAAGTTGGAGATGGAGGTAGAGGGGGTTAGGGGGAGGTGGAGGTGGAGTGGAGGTGATGGTCAAGGGTCAAAGTGGAGGTGGAGGTGGGGTGCCGCACGGGGCTCACTTGCGTTGTGCTGCCCTGTGCAGGACGGCACGCCTGACCAGTCGGCCCGATACTACCACCTGACGCATGACGAGCTCATTGGGCTGCTCCTGCAGCGGGAGCGGGAGCTGAGCCAGCGTGACGAGCACGTGCAGGAGCTGGAGAGCTACATCGACCGGCTGCTCGTTCGCATCATGGAGACCTCACCCACCCTGCTGCAGATCCCCGCCATGCCCCCCAAGTAACCACCCCCAGGGCTGGGGGACCCCATGCAGGGCTCTGCCACCTTCCCCCATCAACTTACCCTGACCTGGAGCAGGGTGAAGCGTCCCCTCACTCCATCCCCTCTCCTCCCTTAACCAGAGCTGCTGAAGGGGTGCCTTGGGGCTCCTGTTGAGGGTCCCCAGAGTCTGTGTATGTACATCGGATATCACCGGGAGCCCCGGGCCTTTTCCACCTGCTTCTTGTCATACCCCTTAGCTTTGGCAACCCCGAGAAGTGGAAACCCACAGGCTGGAGCTGCTGTGAGCCAGTGTGAGATGGTATTCTGTCCGAGGCTGGTTGTTAGCACGTGCTTTTTGTCCCCCAAAGGCACTCAGCCGTTTCTTCTCACCCGGCACCCCTGCCCTCTTCATCGACCTCTGTCCTTAGAGGGGTTCCCAGGCCAGGGCGGGGACCAAGCTGCCTGTCTGTCTGTGACTCTGGGAAACCTCTCCAGCATCACGTCCATCCCATCGAGCTTGTAGGCAGGTCTCTCTGCCCCGCCCAAGTCCCCGTGGTACTAATTTGAGGGGCAAGAACCTTCCCCTCCCTCCTTAGACCTTTCATCAGGTGAGGGGGTGTGTGAGGACAGGGGCTACCGAGTGCTGGCCCACCCCAGGGCATGGACCCCTCCAGGGCTCAAGGCTTTGAGCTGCCAGTGTTTGTGGGTTCGAGCCTCCATCTGTGCTCTTGTTGCCCATCTAGATGCCAAAACTCTGTCCTGCCACAGGGTTTGAACTTTTGGAAACCAATTAAAATGTGCCTTTTGTGGGAGGGGCCAGAGCCCCTCCCCCTGTTTGGCATCCCCTCTTCCTCTCCTCATGGAGCACGTGGTGGGTGTGGGACGAAAATGGGGGCAGCTGGGGTCACCTTTTCCCTCCTCTGGAATCAAGTCTGTTTAAGAGTCTGGCCGAGCTCCTGCTGCCTCAGCTGGACAGCCCTGGGATGAAAGAGACATTCTGGAGACCCACCTTGCTCCTGGGAGACACCTGTTTTTTGCGAAAAACATTTGTTGGCCTCCCCTGAATCCACTGAGCTCCTTCCCCTTGGCCCTGCCTGGCTTGGCTGTGACACCCTTTGAATCGAAGCATCGGTCCTTTGTCCTTGTCTCTGGGGTGTGCTTGTGGGAAGCATGGAAGCCTCTGCAGGTGAAGGGTGCCTGGGGTTAGTCAGTGTGGCAGAGGGAAGGGAAGGAGGAAGAAAGGAGGAGCATTTACCCAGGAAGAAAGTGAGAATGCCGCTCACCTATTCACTGAGAATGGGATCGCCTATCTGGAGAGGATCTGGGGACCCCTCTTAAATGCTTAGAAGGCTGTGCTCTGTGGATGAGGTCTCCTGCAGACAGTGAGACCCCTGGATGGCCACTCCCCTCCACAAAAAGGAGAGAGGGCCCCTTAAGGACCAGTCATAAGAACTGAGGAAAAGATGGGCAGGCGCCCAGGACTTGAGTCCCATCTTTTGTGGGGAGCCATTAGGAACTGGGGGAGCATCTCCACTGGGAAGTGCATCCTCTGCTGCTGGGTGGGTATCTCTTGTACCCCCCCCCATTCCTGACCCGATTTCCTGTATCCTTTGGGCATTGGGCCTCCAGGGTGCCCAGGGCAGGGATGTCGTGAGGAGAGATGCCGAGTTGGAGCCTGAGGTCCTTCTGCAGTGTTTCTGCTCCTGGCCCCAGCTGGAGGAGAGCTGGGTGGGTGGAGGGCAGGCTCAGATCTGCTTGGCTATTAGTCTGTCTTCCTTGTTGTAACTCCTGTTTATAAAGAGCTTGTTCTTCATGTTTTGAGCACTTTATGAAGAATAAAAGGTTCACATACTGCAGGTGGCTCTGTAGTGTTTCTGTGTTGCGGTGAATGAGTGAGCAAGGGTTCTGTGGGAAAGACAGTCTTAAGGTAGGAAAGTTTCTGGCTGTACCACCCCTGTAACCTCGCCGCCATATCAGAGCCAGCATCAGAAGCTTGCCCAGGAGGCTGTTCTTGGGGTCCTCCCTCCACTGGACACTAACAGTTTTCGGTTACCTCTTTATGTTGTCAGGTGCCCTGTGTCACACGGAATGAAATCATGCCAGGTCCTAAACCATCCTTACAATCTCTGCTGTGCCCATGTGCCCCTCTGCAGCCACTTTATCAATCCTTGCCATTTAGGTTTTTCCTCTTTCTCTGTCCCTCTTCTTTAGCAAGCATGATGTCTCTCCCTAGAGGTTGGCCCCTCCAGGTAACATGCCCAGAGCATGGACGGCACATTTTCACCACCCTCACCTCTGAGGAGCATTCTGACTACTTTTCCCCAGTATATTTGCTTAGTGTTTGGGCAGTACTTGAGTACACCTATTTATGGGTACATTTACTGGGTGCTGTGGGATAATTCAGAGTCAAAAACTTGATTCCTATTCTCAAACAACTTGGTCTAGCAGGGGGAACAGAAAAATCCAAGATACAAGCATGGCTAGTTAGAATTTTCCTCTGCCATTAGGAAAAGCCTGTTTGCTGGTTCATTGGTAGAAAAGGAATGTGACTACAGGTCACGTGGTTTATAGAAAGGCTCCGTGTAATAGCACCCTGGGTATACTTCCTCCAAGCCAGATTTGGTTGTTCTTTTGGTGATTCATGAGATATTCCACAGTATTCACCAATACCACAAATGAAACATACCAATTCTTCTTGGGATGTCCTTATTCACTGTCTAATTACAGATGCATACAAAGCAACTGAAATGCTGTGGCCTGAATCCTGTGTACCTCACTCAATCTTTATAAAGTGATATCCATCCTACTCTTTTGTTTTTAATTGATATTTTAATTTAAGTTTATAGAGAAAAAAAAAAAAAGAAAGGCTCCGTGTAGCCATGGGCCACCCTGCACATCACTGTGAGATCCAGGTCACTGAAAGGGATTCAATAGAGGCAACACCGTATCTGTTGTCCTCTGGTGAAACAGGATGCAGTTCTCCCCTCAGTCTGGCTCACGGACTAGGTACGTTGCTTGGGAACTTTCTCTTGTGTTCCACATAGTGTGAATTCTTTACAGGTACTGGTACCTAGCTGTACAATACATAGAAGCCATTCTTAAACCAAAGTCCTTGTATGACCTGTCTGATGGACACTACTGTGTCCCCTACCCCCGTTTTCTTCCTGCTGAGAAGCTTAATCAGCCTGCCTGGGCTCAGAGGACTCTCCCATTTAACTAAGAAATACTTGAGTTTCTATTGTGATCTCCCTCGATAAAACGAATCGAGAAGGACTGTAACACAGTGGACTGGAGCTGGTAAGAGATGGTGAGGATGGTGCCGGGCAGGGCAAGATTTAGTTCTGTTGTTCATTAGTTGATTCTGTGGCACCTAAAGCCGCAATGTGGGCTCTCCTGGCCCTGAGAACCTGGTACAGAAGGTCACAACCCCTGCCCTTCTGCTTCTTAGGAGCGATGTGGGAAGCCATAAATACAAATGCAACTGCGTGCCATTAAGATGTGTAATGGGTTTTGTGTAAGTAGGGCAGAGGATCGAGGGAAAGACAGACTTCAGGTTAAAGCCTGAAAAGCAAGCGTCAGGATATGATAACAAAGTTGAGTCTTTTGAGCAAAAGGTAGTGAATACTCAAGGTCTAGGGTCAGCCAGCACATTCCCCGCCCCCCCCCACCTCAACGGAGCCTTAAGGTGCTGCAGAGAGGAGGGGGCAAGGTGGTGACCCGCAACTGCAGGAGGACGCCGCAGTGCAACTCTTTGCAGAAAAACCTTCAGAGATTAACTCTACTCCTCCTGAAGTCCTTGTCATTCTGGACCCCTTGTTGGGCCCGCTAGGATCTGGCCCTTCTGGGCTGCAGCTTCGTTTACGGCCCCCGTTTCCAATACTGAGAGTAAATAAACAGGAATCTGCTCCAGGGCCCGTTGTAGCGACCTTATAGTCTTAGGGACACACGCATCCCGCACTGCCAGCTCCGCGAAGCCGGGTGGAAGAAACGAGACCCCAGCCCGGTTGGCAAGTGCAAGGCTCCCCAGTCCTGGCTGCCGGGCTCCAAGATCCGAAAGACTACAATTCCCACAACCCCTTGCGCCTGCGCGCTGCGGCTGCTCCTGGCCAATCAGGAGATGCAGCTGTGGCGGGGGCCGAGGAGGGACATTTTAAAAGGGCCGGAGATTGCGGGCGTCATTGGCCATGGCGGATACATCGACTACAGCATCGGCGGCGGCAGCCAGTGCTGCGAACTCCGCAACGGACGCACCGCCTTTCCAGCTGGGCAAGCCCCGCTTCCAGCAGGTGAGAACAGAGTTGTGGGCCGAGGCTCATTGGGGGTCACGATAGGAGCGCACAAACTCCCCTCAAAGTCCCCTTTAGCGCCGGGGGCTCCGACCCGCGGCCACCAGAACCTTCAGCAGCTGCTACCTGAGGTAACCGCAGCCACAGCCGCCCCTCCCTGATTGGTCACTGGGACGACACCCATCCTGGCTTTCTATTGGCGGGCTACGCTGTCACTCCCCGGCTGCCCGCCTCTTCCAGCCGCCGCCGCCGGGGGCGCCCTGTGATTGGCCGCCGCGAGCCCGGCGCCGAGGGCTGAGCCGCCGCGGGCGTCCGCTCCCCGTGGCCGAAGTTCGAGTCCCGCTCCTGATGAGAAGTTGGCGTAGCGGCGCCACCTTGTAACTTTGTCCCCTCAGCAGGGACTGACATTCGGCCCCTGCTGCTGGTGGGGCCTCGGGGCAGTGTGTCCGCGCGGTGATCACCCCTCCAGCCCCTGACCCGAGTCGAGGCCACGAAGGGTGAAGTGTCAGGGCCACGTCCCAGGATGCCCGCGCTGGGGGTCCCGGGCCCTGGGGCTGCGGGTTCGCTAACGGAGCGAGCCAGCCGTCTGGCACCTGCCGGGGAAGGACCTAGTGGACATGGGGAGAGGGTGCGGAGGAAACGCTGTGTCATCTCCTGGGCCGCTGGCCCAGACCGAGGGTCCCCGCCGACTGTCCACCAGCACCCCCTCCTGAGTCCGCCGGCCGGGCTCGAACCT